TGGCTAATTTTTGTATTTTCAGTGGAGATGGGGTTTTGCCATGTTGGCCAAGCTCCATCCATGTCCTAACATTTATTACTTAAGCAACATTGAGGATTGACTAAATGACACTATCTCTGCTCAAGTTAAGAAATTTTATGTGTGGACTATAACTTGATTTAGCTTCTGGCTGAGTCTAAAATTCAATTGGCTTTTCATGTGGGTCAGTTGCCCATGACCTGCCCTATAAATAAATGTCGCTGAGCTACTGAGTTATAAATATATCATTTTAAAGAGGATTAGGAATCCAGCCGGGCTCAGTGGCTCACGCTTGTAATCTCAGCGCTTTGGGAGGCCAAGGTGGCCGGATCACTTGAGGTCAGGAGTTTGAGACCAGCTTGGCCAACATGGTAAAACCCCATCTCTACTAAAAATATAAAAATTAGCTGGGCGTGGTGGTGGGCCCCTGTAATCCCAGCTACTTGGGAGGGTAAGGCACAAAAAAAATCACCTGAACCTGGGAGGTGAAGGTTGCAGTGAGCCAAGACTGTGCCACTGCACTCCAGTCTAGGGTACAGAGTGAGACCCTGTCTCATAAATAAATAAACAAAATAAAGAGGATTAAGAATCCAGAGAGAGAAATGATAGCTTGAAGTGAGTAACAACAGAAAGGATTTAAGGAGGGCAGGTTAGGAATTGAGCAGGGGATTTGGAGAGAGAGCCCTGGGGATTGCAGGCAGTCAGCCATAAGCCTGGCTCCAGGGGCAAAGAAATGCTTAAAAGTGACAAACCAATGTCTTTTGAGTCCTAATCAGACCTGAAGCCCCACTGTGAATCATCTCCATCCATGTGTTCTTGTGACCCAGTAGGACTCCTCTTGCTGGTGCTTAAACTCTTGTGTTGCCCATTCCCTCAGGACCAGTCTCAGCAGTGGGACCACCTAAATTGTACCGTGTATCTTTCTTCTTGCCTTTATTCATTAATTTTTCCCGCTAGTCAATCACTTTACTTCTAAGCTTTAGAGCAAGCTTGTCCAATCGGAGGCCTGCGGGCTGTATGTAGCCCTAGAGGGCTTTGAATGTAGCCCAACACAATTTCTTTTTCTTTTCTTTTTTTTTTAAAGACGAGGTTTCACCATGTTGGTCAGGCTGGTCTTGAACTCCCGACCTCAGGTGATCCACCCGCCTTGGCCTCCAAAGTGCTTGGATTACAGGCATGAGCTACCATGCCCAGCTCACCAAACACAATTTCATAAACTTTCTGAAAACATTATGATTTTCTTGCACGAATTTTTTTTTTTTTAGTTTATTAGCTATCGTTAGTATATTTTATATGTGGCCCAAGACAAATCTTTCAATGTGGCTCAGGAAAGACAAAATATTAGACACCACTGCCTTGGAGGAAATGAGTACATTTTAGTAACATGAGAGGTGAACAAACCTGGAAATTAGCTTTGAATATTCTGCATTTAACATGTGGACATTTGAGGACCTCATAGCCAGCTTACAAATTAGGTTCTAGGGCTGTCCCTGTCACTAACAGCTTCATCTGTAAGCTGAAAGGGTGACTGAGTGGGCAAATGACAACTCTCTCAGCCTTGGTTTTCTGTCCTGTAAAATGGGGACAATGGTAAGTACTTTAGTGTGTTAATAAAAATCAAAGGATTTTTGGTTTGTGGCTGGGTGCTGTGGCTCATGCCTATAATCCCAACATTTTAGGAGGCTGAGGCTGGCAGACTGCTTTGAGACCAGCCTGGGCAACATGGAAAACCCTGTCTCTACAAACAAACAAACAAAAAACAAAAATTACCTGAGTGTGGTGGTGTGAGGCTGAGGCAGGAGGATTGCTTGAGCCCAGGAGGCAGAAGTTGCAGTGAGCCAAGATTGTGTCACTGCACTCCAGCCTAGGTGATAGAGCCAGACTGTATCAAAAACAACTCTAAGGTAAATGTTATCTCTACCCTGGAGGTAACCTGAGGTCTTTTCCAGCTGGTTCTTGAACAGTATAGCACACAAGCATCTGAAGTAGCATCGGACTGGTACTGCCATTTACTGAATGTCCGTTACCTGCCCAACACTGTGCAAGGCGCTTTATCAGTTCTTCAATACTCCAACCCTGTTAGGCTGGAGTATTAAATATATGTCAAATATAAGTATGCATTATTTCCTACATACTTATTGCTAATACCTTTTACTAATGAGTAAACTGAGGCCCTGCCGGGGTTAAATCTCTTGCCCAAGTTTATGGCAGTCAGTGGGTTTGAACTCTTATCTGACTCATGTCTGTCTGACTCCAAAGTCCATGTTTGCTCTACTCTGTTATTCATTAATGTTGTAATAAAACTAACTAATAATGTAATGCAGGAAAGGGATGCCTGCAGACAACTAGAAATGTTAAGAAACTACATTAATAATTTAAAATGGTTGCTTTATGTATTCAGTGTGGCATGTTTAAATGGTCATATGGCCAGAAAAATACATCATTCTCTTAAAGCACTGGAACTTGGCACTAAACTAGTTTAGTCTGTCTTACCAAAGATGGACAGTTATACTAAGAATCTTAGATCAGAACATGATTTTATTTAATATGAAGAAAATATAGGCTGGGTATGATGGCTCATGCCTGTAATCTCAGTATTTTGGGAGGCCAAGGCTGAAGAATCACTTGAGATCAGGAATTCGAGACCAGCCTTGGCAACAAAGTGAGATCCCCATCTCCACAAAAAGATTAAAAAATTAGCCACATATGGTAGTGCGTGCCTGTGGTTCCAACTATCTGGGAGGCTAAGGCAGGAGGATCACTTGAGCTCAGGAGGTCAAGGCTGCGGTAGCTGTGTTCATGCCACTGCACTCTAGCCTAGGGGACAGAGCAGGACCCTGGCTCCCAAAAATAAAAACATTAGCTGAGTGTGGTGGTGTATACCTTTAGTCCCAGTTACTTGGGAGGCTGCAGTGGGAAGATCCCTTGAGCCCTAAGTTTGAGGTGTAGTGAGCTTTGATTATACCACTGCACTTGAGCCTGGGCAACAGAACAAGACTCTGTCTCTACCAAATAAATAAATAAATAAATATTTCCACTTCCTACCTGCCTTCTGGTTCATTCTATTTTTTGCCATTAAAAGTAATGGCAAAACCCACAATTACTTTTGCACCAACATATACCATCAAATCCACTCTTCTCTCACCATCTCCCATACCCACTGCGGACAGAAAGTGAGAACTGGGCACTAGTTCTAATTTTCTAGATATGCATTTTACTCAGAGGCCTAATTTAAAACCAACAAAAGAAAACCAAAAACCTTCTTAGCCCATCAGGATAGCCATATCCTGATAGGCTAAGAAACTAGTTTGTTTATATCATTTTTTTCAGTACTGTACTTCATGCCACACTTGTTTATATCAAGAAGTAGGTTTCAAATATGCCAAATACTTTTTATCAAAGAAACACTGCTAGTTTTTCTTGCATGCACATGTAGTTCATTTGCTTCTTTACCTGAAGCTAAGATTTTAATATATAATTGGAAGTCCTAAGCTAAGCACTTTGGTTTATAGTTAATTTGCTCTGAAATAGCTGGAAGTAGATGCACACAGATTTGAAGGAGCTCATACAGAAGTCATTGAAGGTGAGCACACATACATCATCCTATTATAAGAGATTTACGGTACCTGTAAAAGAGCCCCAGAAATTTTCAGTGTGGGTCTATATTTATTTTTTTTGAGACAGTCTTTCTCTGTCACCCAGGCTGGAGTACAGTGGTGTGATCTTAGCTCACTGCAACATCCACGATGTGGGTTCAAGCGATTCTCCTGCCTTAGCCTCCCAAGTAGCTAGGATTACAGGCGCCCACCACCTTGCCCACATAATTTTTGTTTTTTTTTTTGAGACGGAGTTTCACTCCTTACCCAGGCTGGAGTGCAATGGCGCAATCTCAGCTCACCGCAACCTCTGCCTCCCGAGTTCAGGCAATTCTCCTGCCTCAGCCTCCTGAGTAGCTGGGATTACAGGCTTGAGCCACCGTGCCCGGCCCTCAATTTTTGTATTTTTAGTAGAGAAGGGGTTTCACCATGTTGGCAAGGCTGGTCTCGAACTCCTGACCTCAGGTATTCCACCCACCTCAGCCTCTCAAAGTGCTGGGATTACAGGTTTGAGCCTCCACGCCCAGCTGGGTCTTTATTTATTTACTGAGATGGAGTTTCCCTCCTGTTGCCCAGGCTGGAGTGTAATGGCATGATCTTGGCTCACTGCAGCCTCTGCCTCCTAGGTTCAAGAGATTCTCCTGCCAAGTCTCTTCAGCCTCCTGAGAAGCTGGGATTACAGGCATGTGCCACCATACCCAGCTAATTTTGTATTTTTTTTTTTTTTTTAGTAGAAATGGGGTTTCTCCATGTTGGGCAGGCTGGTCTTGAACTCCCAACTTCAGGTGATCCACCTGCCTTGGCCTCCCAAACTGCTGGGATTACAGGTGTGAGCCACCGCACCAGGCTATATTTATTTTTAAAGCAAGAATTACTTCAGTTGAAAATGTGCCTTAAATTGCTGCTTTGCTACACATAGTTACCATTATGTTGCTCTTGTTTTATTGACTAGTTCTTAATCTTGAGGCTTATACCTGCTTTAGGCATTCATGAGTGACAGTCAACAACTGAGCTGAAGGTCATGGGGCACAAAGCTGTAATTCTTTTTATGGTAATGACAGTAACGTAAGTCTGATACACAAGCAGTATGTATTCAACACACTGACACTTGATAGCCTGTCAGGAAAAGAGAACAGGAAATGAATGCGGTTTAAGGAGGGGAAAACTGAGAAGTCATAACTCCTCTAAAGATGTGGAGGGATTCACAAAAGACAGGGACCTGCTCCTGCTATAAAAGGAAAATGAAGCATTTCCCCAGGGTTGCTATGCCAACGTTTCGGCGCACTGAAGACTTGCCTCTTTCAGGGCTTTAACCGCTATTTCATTCCATGGAAAAGCAGAAAAAGTGACATTTACCGAAAGAAAGAGGCCTTAACAGTGAGAAGCTTAAGAAAGAAAAATATTTATCCATGCTTTGCACAATTTTTTTTTTTTTTTTGAAACAGAGTCTCATTCTGTCACCCAGGCTGTACTGCAGTGGCATGATATTGGCTCACTGCAACCTCCACCTCCTGGGTTTAAGCAATTCTCCTGCCTCAGCCTCCTGAACAGCTGGGACTACAGGTGCCCACCACCACGGTTAATTTTTCTATTTTTAGTAGAGACAGGGTTTCACCATATTGGTCAGGCTGGACTCAAACTCCTGACCTTGTGATCCACCTGCCTCAGCCTCCCAAAGTGCTGGGATTACAGGCATGAGCCACTGCACCCTGCCCGCTTTGTACAATTTTCAAACGCCACTATTTCTATTCAATTTTGGGGGCTTATTACAGTGCTGGGTGCAAAGTTTATGTGATAAAAGCTTACTGAATGAATGAATCACAGGATAAATGATACAACTGGTAATTTCTTGAGATTATAAATTCCATTACAGTGACCCTGATAGGCAATTCTAGAAAGTTTTGGACTACAAGAAGTCAGTGCATGTCATAAATGTGTTTGATCTGCTGTAAAGTATATTCACACTCTCCAAAATGTAATGATTAAATGAGATAAAACTGGTTGGTTACCACCCCCAAATTAGCATATGCCAGCCTGCACAAAGGTAAATATCAAAAACTTTAACTGCTCAATTTGAATTAATCAAAGATTCCTTCTAGGAATCTTAAAAAAAGGTGTGAAGAACATTTCAAGCACTTATTTTCAGATGAATCAACTAATATAAGTTAAAAATGGAACAAACTAATAATTGAACACCAGCAGCATAACAAAACAGAATTTTCACTCTTTCTACTTTGAATCAAAGTGGTTTGCTCATATTTGTTGAAATCAGAACTGAAACAATGACATGTATAAAAAGAATAGATAAAAGTGGTTCTTCCGCTAGGGTCCAGTCTGTCATTAAAGTTCCATTCCCTGCTCTCAGCTGATCCGGGCACGAAAACCCAATGGAGCAGTTAGGCAGACTCAAATCAACTCGGCGGGAAGCACTCTCCATACTCATCTGGCCCACCCTCATTTCAAATTCAGGCAAAAATGGCCTCCCTGAGGCTTTAGGACTTGTTTTCTTCTTTTTCTTCTGATACTGTTTCCCAGATTGGCTCCTTGATGTGTTCTGGTAACTGTACTATTTGTGTCTAAAAAAAGAAATAAACAAAACTATAATATAATGTGGATTTAAAAGAACTCTTTGGCTACAAATTGGATTTATTAATTTGTCAAATCCTCTTAACTACCTTTTCTTTTATCCCCCTAGTCTTTCTGCAGGGTTTTGAAATGGAAAGAAGGAAACTTGACGGTAAAAACACTCTCACATATGTAATCTATTTGATCCTCAGTGATCTCCAAGGATTGTCACTTAATTGGATCCCCAAGTCTAGAGAACTATTACTGAGAAGGGAGAACTTTGGAGGTGGTCCATAGAGGACTTGGGCTGAAATGGCAGGATTCTGTTGAAAGGGGTGGGAGCCGCCAACCACTGTGGCAACTCTGTCTCCTACTTTGCCACAGGTTAGGCCAAACTCTACTCAGTGGGCCAGGACCAGGCTGCATGTATCAAAACAACAATACAGATACCATTTCTCTCCTTCCCCCCAAAAGAGGTAGAAATTCAAGCCATACCTTTGTTACTTCCATGGCAACTCCTTCAGGTAAGTTTCGCTGAATATATTCTAAGTAGACATCTGCTGTGCTTCCAGTTAGATGTTCTAACTATCAAACAGGAAAATGGTTCAGGATATGTTGTTTGTTAAAACATACTTTTTTTTTTTAAGACAGTCTCTCTCTGTCCCCTAGGCTGGAGTGCAGCGGCTCAATCGCAGCTCACTGCAACCTCCGCCTCCTGGGTTCAAGAGATTCTCCTGTCTCAGCCTCCTGAGTATCTGAGACTACAGGCGCCTACCACCACACTTAACTAATTTTTGTATTTTTAGTAGAGACAGGGTTTCACAGTGTTGACCAGGATGATCCTGAACTCCCAACCTCGTGATCCACCCACCTCGACCTCCCCAAGTGTTGGGATTACAGGCGTTAAGCCACCACACCTGGCCCTTTCTTTTTTCTTTTTTTTTGAGATGGAGTCTCACTTTGTCACCCAGGCTGGAGTATGCATGATCTCAGCTCACTGCAACCTCTGCCTTCCAGGTTCTAGCCATTCTCCTACCTCGGTCTCCCAAGTAGCTGGGGCTGCAGGCATGCGCCACCACATCCAGATAATTTTTTTGTATTTTTAGTAGAGATGGGGTTTCACCATGTTGGCCAGGCTGGCCTTGAACTTCTGACCTCAAGTGATCTGCCTGCCTTGGCCTCCCAAAGTGCTGGGATTACAGGCATGAGCCACTGCGCCTGGATCTCCTAAAGAATCTTATAAAATCCCAATTAAAAAAAAAGTATGGATCCTTTGGTTGACCGCATGGAGGGGAAGATGGGCCAGAAACCCTCTTCCTCCAAAATGCAGCTGCCTTAAAACTAGGGCTCCATGGAACACAGTTGGCAAGCATAGTATGAAAGCGGTATACTTAAAAAAGGCTCACAAAAAAACGGAAGACAAAAGGACTAGAATATAAGATACAGTTAGTATAAGATTTTCTGTGTGTACCATGATGAGACATGTTTCCGTCAGACATAGGTAGATAAAATATTGAGTTTTTCTTTTTAAGAGTAGGGATTGGCCAGGCCTGGTGGCTCATACTTATAATCCCAGCACTTTGGGAGGCCAAGGTGGGTGGATCATGAGGTCAGAAGTTTAAGACCAGCCTGGCCAAGATGGTGAGGCTACTAAAAATACAAAAATTAACTGGGAGTGGTGGCGGGCGCCCGTAGTCCCAGCTACTTGGGAGGCTTAAGCAGAGAAATGCTTGAACCCAGGGAGCGGAGGTTGCAGTGAGCCGAGATCGTGCCACTGCACTCTAGCCTGGGTGACAAGGGAGACTCCATCTCAAAAAAAGAAAAAGATGCAGAAGTGCTTGTTTTAATAATATTTACCCATTACTTACTATGTGATGAAAAGTATTCTGACTGCTTACATAAATTTTCCATTCTAATCCTCACACTAACCTTATGAGACGGGTACCATTATTATTCTCATTTTATAGACGAAGAAATTGAGGGACATGTCACACAGCCAGTAAGTGCCAGAAATTGGATTCCAGCATTGGCAGTCTGACTCCAGAACCCATGCTCTCCTTAAGCATAAGGCTGTTCTGCCACTAATGGAAGCACAAATGACTAACAGATGAATGAAAAACCTAATGCTGTGCATCACTGACATGGAAAATCCAGCTAGTATGTGAAAGGAGTTATTAAAACTGTGTAAAAACTTAACTAGGATTTTTGAAATATAAGGAAAATTATTCCAATGCTATCTTTGCATAATCTGCATTCCTGAGTTAAGGTATGCACTACCCTACAGGATGGCTTTATTTGAACTTACTTTTCCTACCATGACACTTCCATAAACACTAAAAGATATTTACCTTCTGTATAGCCAACAGACATGGGAAAAAGCAGTCAAATCTAGTCAATGTTAAAGCAAAGTTATATGCCAGTGTGAATTTTTGGTATTTCAAAAATGCCAGAATTTCTTTTTTTTTTTTGAGACGGAGTTTCGCTGTTGTTACCCAGACTGGAGTGCAATGGCAGGATCTCGGCTCACCGCAACTTCTGCCTCCTGGGTTCAAGCAATCCTCCTGCCTCAGTCTCCTGAGTAGCTGGGATTACAGGCACGTGCCACCATGCCCAGCTAATTTTTGTATTTTTAGTAGAGACGGGGTTTCACCTTGTTGACCAGGATGGTCTCGATCTCTTGACGTCCTGATCCACCCACCTCAGCCTCCCAAAGTGCTGGGATTATAGGCGTGAACCACTTGCACCCGGCCCAGAATTTCTTAAAGAAACTCACCTCTAAACATCTGTAAAGTGTTCTCATTTCATACTGAACTCTGTGCTTCTTGTAAATATGCACCGATTTGAGAAGAGTAAATCGCTCTATTTTCCTTGGAGGCTCGTGTCTGAAATTAATGGACAAAACAAAACCTGAGTCACTATGATAACAAAGCATGATTCCATAATTTTGTAGGTCAGACTCACACTCAATTATAGGCATTAACTACCATTTACAGACTTCCATTTGTCAAAACTGTCATCTGGAACAACAACTGCTACCATAAAACTCAGGCCTAAATAAACACTGCATACAGCAACAGAAACCTTTTCCCACAGGCTCAAAACTGAGCCCTGGCATGTCAAGGGTGCATGCATACACACAAACCTGCTGCTTTTGCACCTTTTGGTCTTTTACTGATCAAGTACATGAATTGTGAAGAGTAGCACCGGTGTGGTGGACATAGTTGTAACACCTGCTATATGTCTGTTGTTTTAGGAAAATCTACAGATACATCGAAATCACAAAACTCTAGTCTGTTTTGGGAAACTGTGGGCTTCTGTTTTTGTTAGAAGGCCAGACTGCCAAGGCCCCAGATGGGCCTTGTTTGACAGCAGAAGGAGCAGATGACAAGACAAAGGAAATAGTTCTGCTTGACCCTGCAGTGACTCCAAGGCTATATGAAACTTACCTTGTTCATACAAGAAATTACTGGGTGAATGGTGTTTCTTAGGGAAGATTTGAAACAACGGATATATTAGCCAAAAATTATCACATCCAAAGGGTCTAAAATGATGGTTCATTCACCTACTCTATCTCCCTGCTCCATGGAGATCCCAGAAACATGGCCTTCTTGAGTCTCTTTACGTCAATGCAATTTCCAGAAAAAGGATTTCTTTCATTGTCCTTGTTTACTTATTCTAGTATTTAAAAACTCCAGTGGGGGGCTGGGCACGGTGGCTCACGCCTGTAATCCCAGCACTTTGGGTGGCCGAGGTGGGCAGATCACAAGGTCAAGAGATCAAGATCATCCTTGCCAACATAGTGAAACTCCATCTCTACTAAAATACAAAAGTTAGTATGTGCCTGTAGTCCCAGCTACTCAGGAGGCTGAGGCAGGAGAACTGCTTGAACCCAGGAGTTGGAGGTTGCAGTGAGCCAAGATCACACCACTGCACTCCAGCCTAGCGCCTGGCAACAGAGCAAGATTCTGTCTCAAAAAAAAAAAAAAAAAAAAAAAAAAACCTCCAGTGGGCAGGAAGACATGATTCTGATTAGGATAACATATGACACACTTAACTCAACCCACCATGAGTTTCTATCCCACTTTAAGAGTTCAGACTGGGCCGGGCACAGTGGCTCATGCCGATAACCCCAGCACTTTGGGAGGCCAAGGCAGGCGGATTGCCTGAGCTTAGGAGTTTGAGACCAGCCTGGGCAATACAGTAAAACCCCGTCTCTACTAAAATACAAAAAAAAAAATTAGCTGGGTGTGGCAGTGTGCACCTGTAGTCCCAGCTACTCGGGAGGCTGAGGCAGGAGAACTGCTTGAACCCAGGAGGCAGAGGTTGCGGTGAGCTGAGATCACACCACTGCACTCCAGCCTGGGCAATAGAGCGAGACTCTGTCTAAAAAAAAAAAAAAAAAAAAAAAAAAAAAAAAAAAAAAAAAAAAAAAAATTCAGAGATCTCTGGTGAAAAGACCAAAAAAAAAAAGTTCTGACCTTCCTGGGATGAGCACTATTTTCTTGGCTGAGCATATTACAGCAGCTAACAGGTGAGATCAGGAAAGGCCATACTCACACTTTAATAGAGATACCAAGTTCTTTAGCAGCAAGCACAGCAAAATATTCATAGCTGTCCAATACAGCCTTATCATGTCCTTTCACTAAAACCGACAGGCGCTTATATAATGTGTCTGGTTCATCAGAGATCGTTATCTAAAATCCAAAAGAAAAGTTTCAGTTTTAGTTCCTCTTATATAACTAGCAAATTTAACACATTACCCTCAATTGAACAACTTCAGAGTTTACCAATAAATGAGGAGAAAAACACTGAGTGACATTTCAGCACTGTTAGCTTAAGTGTCTAGATACTTTCATGTTCAGATCTGGACAATGGGTCTCAAAATCTGTTAAAATACCATGTGAATCAAAAGAGTTTTCAAGGCAACCTATAAAATTATGAAAGGAACTTTCCAACTTAATAATTATTTAGCCTCAAATTCACCATGAGAAAGGACTTCAGGATCTGCTAACAAAAAGAGCCTGGTCAGAAGACTTGGACTGAGAACTAAACTCTGCTAATGAGAGCTGAAGGACAATGGGCAACTCATGTCATCTCACTGCACTTTAGTTTCCTGACATGTGAAAGAAGGTAAACCTATGCTATAGCTCACAGTATCTCTCTAAGAAAAAAATAAGAAAACACAGATTAAAGTGCTTATTAATGATAAAACCTTAGTATACAAAGGCAAGCTAGTTCTATTCATACTATTTTTTTAGTAGGTTTAATTCATGTGTGTTTTGCCTGCCCTAATAAACAAATTACTCATTTCTAATTAAAATGATAAGACACTGACTGTACCTGTAACTTCTACCTCTTCCACCCTAATACCTAAAGACCTTAGAAATAATGGGTTTGACATTTCTGACTTTCTTCCAAGAGGTGAATTACCTTCATTTCATTCATCCATTAAACCAGTAAATTATACTACTCATCTAGTGATTCAGAGTTAAATTACTTCACTCCTGAAAGGAGATTTACTTACTAGCCAGAAAGCTAGATATCTACCCTCAATTACTCCAAACAGGTTTGTTCGAAGAAAAGAATATACTCATAGCCTGTGTCATAAGTTGACAGATAAGAAGGGGGAATTTAGCTCGAAGATGTGTTCTGACTGCTCACTACAGGCTGTTAAAAGATACTCCGAATTTGTTAGGAATATTAAAAATCAGGAGATTTCACAAAATCTGGATTTCAGTTTAGCTTGGAAAATTTAGACAAGCTGGCATCACTAGGTCGGATTTCCCACAGGGCAATAAGTGGCTAAATAAGTAGCTGCCGTCTTGCTTATAAAGACAGTGGCACACCATGCCAATTCTGCCACCTTTTCTTTTTTTCCCTTTTTCTGCCACCTTTTCTTATAGGCCTGGTTCCTGCAGGCATCTGAGTTGGAGACTGAAGCTTAAATGTGCTGTCATAGAAACCTATCCAGTACTGGCCAGGAGTGGTAGCTCATGCCTATAATCCCAGCACTTTGGGAGGTTGAGGCAGGCAGATCACTTGAGGCTGGGAGTTTGAGACCAGCCTGGCCAATATGGCAAAACCCCATTTTTACTTAAAAAAACAAAAATCAGCCAGGCATGGTGGCATCTGCCTGTAATCCCTGCTAGTTGAGAGGCTGAGGCATTAAGAACTGCTTAAACCCAGGAGGTAGAGGTTGCAGTGAGCCAAGATCATGCCACCGCACTCCAGTCTGGGTGACAGAGCAAGACTCAGTCATACACACACACACACACACAAAATCTGTATCTCTATCTATATCTCCAGTATCTATTAAGAGAAAAGACAGAAAAGAAAGAGCAGTAAACCAGACATGTGCACAAAGTGAGTACCTACAGACAAATGCCTAGAACTGTAATCCCAAACTGTTAAAGGGGGTTATTTTTGAGGGGTAGAAATGGAAAGATTTAAAAAAATTACGAGTAACACAAAAAACCGGATTGATGGAATCATCACTTCTACAAGGTTACCAAGCTGCTTCTAGACGTTTACTATTTGTGCTAATGCGTTTTCTCCCTGTGAACAACAAAGCACTATCTAGGCCCAGGCTCAATATACAAAATAAAAACAAAGACTTGAAGGCCACAAGAAAAATATTTTTCCGTAACATAACATCAAGTATTCTACATCACAAATTCTGACAACTCTTTAATTATACCAAGCTAAAAGCAACAGACTGCTAATTAGCACAGTTATTTGGGGTAATTCATTCCTTTAGAATTTACTTTGATACCCTGAAGATAATATGGTCCAGGGAGTTAGAGAATATATGCATTACGCATTTGCCAGCATTCTAGGACAAAATCCTTTTATTCATAGAGTGTCTGGGGAAAAAAAAACCCAGTGAAATAAGGAAAACCTATTGCTAATGTAGCTCCTTGTACCAAGAAATAGGGAGTACGTACCACAGGTTTGGTCAAACCCTTTGGAACATCAACATGTAGATTTGAAAACGGTACCCACTTCATACTGGTACTGCTATGTGTGGGAAAACAAAAAAGAGAAACCTAAGTAAAATAGCACAAGAACCTATTTTGTTCAACTGAGCACATCCAATTGTATACTTACAGAAGCAAGCCACCATTTTTGGCTATACTGCCCTTAGAACTGTTTACAGAAAAATTCCCCAATCCCTAAAGAAAAAAAAAGTAGGACATGTGTCAGAATTAAAGTCGACTACCAAACCATTCATAGCTTCCATTAAAAACTAAAGGTTGCCTCATTATTTCAGATGAAGATACTAGGGTAACTAAAATGGCCAAATTAGATTTCATTTAAAAAAAAAAGGGAGGACAATGGTAGAGTTGACGGTAAAAAAGCGGTCTCAAAATACTAGAGAATCTCTATCTTTTAAAGCTTAGGAATAAAACCCTTTTCAAAAAAAAAACAATTCTCACATTTTAAAAAAGCTATAAGTTATGTGGACATCAAGAAAAAAATGTGACTTTATTTTCCCATTTTTTTTTACAAATTAATTGTACTTCACTGAAAATTTTTAAGCAATACAATCTATTAAGTGTCTTTATAATTTAATTTGTTGAGTTGGAATAAAAATTCTAAAGTACCCGTCTTTTGATGCTTTCATACATCTTTTAAAACATGCATTTTGCAGCTCGGTGGGGACAACTAGCTTATAAATAAATTGAAATATGTGCTGCAACTTATGCCCATCATTAACTACTGTGCCACATGCTACAACAAACCGGCATTTCCAAATCCTTTACATTAGCTCCCCCTGGTGGAACAAGACTTTCCAGTTTTAGGAAACTTAAATTGTACTACTACATCTAACAGCTAACTGTTTTTTCCTTTAAACTTTTCTGAGATTTTACAGTGCAACTTGAGAAAGTGGAAACACAATAGGATCCTTAAAAACACAATGAAGATGAAAATAAGGCCAGGCACAGCGGCTCACACCTGTAATCACAGCACTTTGAAAAGCCAAGGAGGGTGGATCACTTGAGGTCAGGAGTTCCAGAGCAGCCTGGCTAACATGATGAAACCCTGTCTCTACTAAAAATACAAAAATTAGCCGGGCGTGGTGGCAGCACGCCTGTAATCCTAGCTACTTGGGAGGCCAAGGCAGGAGAATTGCCTGAACCTGGGAGGTGGAGGCTGCAGTGAGCCGAGATCACGCCACTGCACTCCAGTCTAGCGGCAGAGCGAGACTCCATCTCAAAAAAAGAGAAAATGAAAATAGGTTTAGCATAAGTGAAGTTTCATGAAAACAAGTGATGGTCACCTAAGTATGTTTTTGTTTGTTTTTTGGATTTTTCTTGAGACAGGGTCTCACTCCGTTATCCAGGCTGGAGTGCAGTTGTATGATCATGGCTCGGACCTCCCAGGCTCAGGTGATCCTCCCAACTCAGTCTCCCAGGTAGCTGGGACTACAGACACGGGCCACTAGGCCCAGCTAATTTTTTGTACTTTTGTAGAGATGCAGTTTCGCCACATTTCCTAGGAATATGGTTTCACCATATTCCCAGGAAGGACCACTCAAGCCTATTCTTAGCTTATTGTCCTTCCTCTTTTTACTCAAGATAGAGACAAATCATAACTCTATAATCTTTCTTGCACCGAAGGGGAAAAGAAAAGGAAAAAGGAAATCAGGTACAAATACAAGGTGGTAAGAGGTATGTGCCATTCTTCAGACATAATCCCATAGAAAATTCCCTCCCAACAATTATGCCAGTGACCCCACAATCTAGTTGTACAAGAGGAGCAAGAATATTACAAACCTCTGCTTTTTTTTTTTTTTTTTTTGAGACGGAGTCTTCCTCTGTTGCCCAGGCTGGAGTGCAGTGGCTGAATTTTCGGCTCACTGCAACCTCTGCCTCCTGGGTTCAAGTGATTCTCCTGCTTTAGCCTCTTGAGTAGCTGGGATGACAGGAACCTGCCACCACACTCAGCTAATTTTTGTATTTTTAGTAGAAACAGGGTTTCACCATGTTGGCCAGGCTGTTCTGGAACTCCTGACCTCAAGTGATACGCCTGCCTCAGCCTCCCAAAATGCTGGGATTATAGGCATAAGCCACCACGCCCAGCCTTAAAGACCTCTGCTTTTAAAAGCTGGAGTTTAAAGTGCTATTACATCCACGAATCAACCTTAAGAAGTTTTAAAATTGCATTTTTCTTTGTATTTCTTGAGAGTTTGTGTGTGTGGGAGGGGGGCGGTGGTTTGGAAGGGAGGGCTGTCTGGGTAAATGTCTTAATGAAACAGTTCAGAAATTTCAACCTCTAACACCATCTGATTTTTAAGAACAGTGGTTCTCAGGTGGGGCATGGTGGCTCATGCCTGTAATCCCAGCACTTTGGGAGGCTGAGGCAGGCAGATCACTTGAGGTCAAGAGTTCAAGATCGGACTGACCAACATGGTGAAACCCTGTCTCTACTAAAAATACAAAAATTAGCTGAGCGTGGTGGCACATGCCTGTAATCTCAGCTACTCAGGAGGCTGAGGCAGGAGAATCGCTTGAACCCTGGAGGTGGAGGTTGCAGTGAGCCAAGATCGTGCCATTGCACTCCAGCCTGGGCAACAAGAACAAAATTGTCTCAAAAAAAAAAATAATAATAATAATAAAGGCGAGGTTAAGCTCCTAGAATTTTGAGTTAAGATTACAAAAAGGACCATAGCTTAATATTCTGAATGAAAATTTAGTAGCAGCTGCAAGAAGAGGCCATGTGGATCAGGTTATTAAAAAAACATCCTGAAAGTAGGCAAGCCTCCTATACCCTTGGTTTAGTTGAAAGGACCTTGCCTCGCTGGAGAGCAAGCAACTGCTTGCTATCCTGCTGTCACTGTCTTCAGCCCAAAGGGAACCATGTCACACCACGTTACACACATGATGGAATAAAAGGTCAAGGTTTGTTCATGGCTAATGATGGCTAAATGACACCTCCATTTCTAGCATTTGTATAAACTGTTAGCACAATCCCGTAATAGTGAACAAAAGGAAAAAACAGTGGTTCTCAAAAATGTGGTCTGAGGACGTCTGTGGGGTCTCTGAGACACTTGCGGAGGATCCAGGAAATCAAAACTATTTTCATAATACTAAGACTTTATTTAAACTTTCCCACTCATTCGCTTACCAGTGTACAGTGAGGTTTTCCCGTAACAGCCTGAGGTGTGACATATCAAAATATTAAATGCAGAAGCAGATTTGAATCTAGCTGTCTTTTATTAAGCCGGAAATTAGAGAGCTTCAAAAATGTAAAACATTGCTGCTCCGCACTCAGTTTGTTCAGAAAGTTATTTTTCATAAAGTGTTAGTTATAACACGTAATGAGTTATTGTTACTTTTAAATCAACACATATTCTTAAGTTTTATTTTCTAAAAAGCTAAATACAGATAGCTAAAACCCACAAAAGCAAAAAAGCTCTTTGGATTCCTCAACTCCGAAAGTGTGATCTCAAGACCAAAAAGCATGAGAACCGCTGCTGAAAAGTTTTTGCTTCTCCTCCAAATAACTGCGCAGAGGATATCTAACCCACTCTTCTGGCTCGAGACCTTCCTCTAAATCTGGGTGCCAGGAATGCATCTCAATTTAGTTCCATGGAGTCTGAGATCTTGCACCAGCTAATTTTCGCGAGGCAAATGTCTTGTCTTCTCTGAGCCTCAGCTTATTTTGCAAACGTGAAAGGAGGGGTTTTGGAACATAGGAAGTACAACATCTTTTCCAGCTCTGACATTCTACGATTATCCTGGTGCCTATCTTTACCCGAATTCGTTAATTTATGTTTAATTCCATGAGAGAATTCTGATTAAACCAGCCCCTTTCTCGTCACTTTCCTGTAAACGGCGCGAGGTGACGGATAAATATCAGGAAAAATCCTGATGGGCAGAGCGGCTGGTGGCAGGGAAACTATCGCGGTCAGCCTTCCTAGTCTCCCTAACCCACCCGGTACCTGCCAGAAGCGCTGGCACACGACCCCGAACGCGGTTCGCGCCGCCATCTTGCCGCTCCCGACCTCTCAGGATTCCTTCCGGGGTTACAGTGGCGTTCTCGGACCATAGAGTTCCGCAAAAGGAGAGAACGTACATCCTCATGTTCCGACGCTGGAGCAACCATAGAGACACGATCCCGTGCCTTTCGGGGCTGGAATGTTGGCTGGCCGAGGCCGGTGTTGATAGAATTGATTCGGCCGGTGACTGTATAGTTACCAAGCCCCATTTAATATTCTTTAAATTGTCTGTGTGTGCTTGCACACACACACATATATCTATTTATTTATTTACTTATTTTTTTTTCCTTTTAGGAAAAACAACCTCAGACTCCTGGCTCAAGTGATCCTCCCAACACAGCCTCCTGAATAGCTGGACTACAAGCGCGTGCCACCACAGCTAATTTTTTTTTTTTTTTTTCTTGTAGAGACGGGGTCTCGTTGTATTGCCCTCGTTATTTTGTGGGCTGGTCTCGAACTCCTGTCTTCAAGTGATCCTCAAGCCTTGGCTTCCCAAGGGATTGAGATTACAGGCGTGAGCCACCAAGCCCAGCCCGAAACTAATATATTGACACCATTTACTTAAGTAGTGGAATAATGGGTAATTTATTTTCCTATTTCTGCATTTTTCAAAATTTTAACAAAATCTATATTTAATAAGAGAAAGAAAAGTCAGCCACTATTACTGGGTGTAGTTGCCACTCAGTTAGTTACCTTATTGCAATGATTTTCTAATTATGGTTCTTAATCCTGCCTTCCCCACACCAGTTTGAATTCTTGTGCTCCATCCATTTTGTATACCACTATCCTACTAATCTTTCTAAATTATTCATTTCCCTATGTTACTCTAGTATGTAGGAATTTGCAATGGCTAGCTTCATCTACAACAAGCCAAAAGTGTTTTGACTAGTTATTAATGTCCACCATAATTTTTTTTCCAAATAAAAAGATTTATAACTGGGATTTGCTGTAATAAAAACTTCTTCAGGCCAGACACAGTGGTTCACACTTGTAATCCCAGCACTGTCGTAGGCCGAGGTGGGCAGATCACCGGAGGTCAGGAGTTCGAGACCAGCCTGGTCAACATGGTGAAACTCCATGTCTACAAAAAATACAAAAAATTAGTAGGATGTCATCGTCGTGTGCCTATGGTCCCAGCTACTCGGGAAGCTGAGGCATGAGAATCACTTGAACCTGGGAGGTGAGGTTGCAGTGAGCCAAGATAGTGTCACTGCACTCCAGCTTGGGAGACACAGTGAGACTCTAAAAAAAGAGAAAAGGCCAGGTGCAGTGGTTCACACCTGTAATTTCAGCACTCAGCACTTTGGGAGGCTGAGACAGGAGGATCACCTGATGTCAGGATTTTGAGACCAGCCTGGCCAACATGGTGAAACCCCCTCTCTACTAAAAATACAAGTATTAGCATGGGGATGTGCACCTGTAATCCAAGCTATTTGGGAGGCTGAGGCAGGAGAATTGTTTGAATCCAGGAGGCAGAGGTTGCAGTAAACTGAGATTGAGATTGAGCCACTGCACTCTAGCTTGGGGGACAGACCGAGATTCTGACTCAAAAACAAAAACAAAGCAAAAAACCAACCAAACAAAAAACTTCCATCTGTGCAAATTTTTAAACATTTATTTTTATTATTTTATTTTATTTTCTTCTCATCTTAAGGTCTGCTTCTATAGTACTTTTTTTTGAGACAGTATTTCCCTCTGTTGCTCAGGCTGGAGAGCACTGGCTTGATTATATTTCACTGCAGCCTCAAACTCCCGTGCTTAAGTGATCCTCACACCACAGCCTCTGGAGTATCTAGAACTACAGGTTTTTGCCATCATTTTAAATTTTATTTTTGTTTTGTAGAGACAGAGACTTGCTATATTGCCCAGGCTGGTCTTGAACTCCTGACTTCCAGCAATCCTCTCACCTTGGCCTCCCAAAGTGCTGGTTTTACAGGTATTAGCCACTGCACCTGGCCCATTTGTGCACATTTCTAAGCTTTATTTTCCCAAAGTGCTTTCATGTATGCATTTTAGCCTAAAGAAAAACTCTAGCCTTATACTCAAATCTGGTTTCTATTCCCAGGTTTACCACTTAGTTGAGTGACTTTGAGCAAGTTACTTCCCTGCCCTGAGCCTCAGTTTTCTCATATGTCCAAAAAAAGATAACAGTAGTTGCTACTTCCGGTAGTTGCTGTGGGAATTCAATGCAATACCAATGTCTGGTGTTTAGTACAATGCCTGCCATGTAATGATACGCTATAGATGTTAGCCACTATTTCTGCCATGAAGTTTCTACCTCACCTGCCTCACAAGGCTGTTGAGAAGATTAAAAATAAAAGGATCAAGTTTATGAGAATATTTTGTTGCGGGCGGATCACGATTTCAAGAGATCAAGACCATCCTGGCCAACATGGTGAAATCCCGTCTCTACTAAAAATACAAAAATTAGCTTGGTGTGGTGGTGTGTGCCTGTAGTCCCAGCTACCTGGGAGGTGGAAGCAGGAGAATCGCTTGAACCCTGAAGGTAGAGGTTGCAGTGAACCAAGATCATGCCACTGCACTCCAGCCTGGCGACAAAGCAAGACTCCATTAAAAAAAAAAAAAAAGAATTATACAAATATAAAGCTGTTTTTTTCTTCCCACAAAATTATTATTACCCTATTTTGCAGGCAAGAGAACCAAAGAAGAGGCAGAATAGTTTGTCCAACAGCACACCTATCTAGGAGATAGAAAAGGTCTAGGAGCAGAAACCACTTTTCCTGCCCCTCAGGCTGGCTTCTGTTTATTAGAGTTCAGTCCGTTTTGAGGTGTAGCAGAGAGTCTAGAGCGGCCTTGCACCACAGTATGAAAACAGCACACTTAGCCTGTGTGCGCTTCTGCCGGACTCAGCGATGCTTCACGTTGGCAGGCTGCCCAGTGCCCTTCTTCGAATCAGGTTCTCTCTGTGAATTGGATTTCCCTTAGCCAATGGGGTTTTCCAACAGCCTCTCCACCCCCAGTTCCGTTGCTGCTTCCAAAGTTTGCGTCAGTCTGTCCAGACAGCACTTCTGTGAGGGCTCCTCGGCCTGCCTCTGTCCCCTTTGAGTAGCCTCAGTTGGATAAATGTTCTGCAACCATAATGCTTGCAAACGACTTTCACCTAAGTTACCTACTCTGATCCTCACCAGAAGACATGGATTTTGTCCTAATTTTATAAATGAGGAAACCAACGTGAAATGACTCACTCAAGGTCATGCAGTAAGTTAGTTACAGCTAAACCAATAACCATCTTAAAAGTGGTGTCTGGTCGGGCGTGGCGGCTCACACCTGTAATCCCAGCACTTTGGGAGGCTGAGGCAGGCGGATCATGAAGTAAAGAGATCGAGACCATCCTGGCCAACATGGCAAAACCCCGTCTCTCTTAAAAATACAAAAATTAGCCAGGTGTGGTGGTGGATGCCTGTAGTCCCAGCCACCTGGGAGGCTGAGGCAGGACAATCACTTGATCCCAGGAGGCAGAGGTTTCAGTGAGCCAAGATCGCACCACTGCACTCCAGCCTGGGCGACAGAGCAAGACTCTGTATTAACAAAACAAAACAACCAGTGCCTTTTCTACCTCTGCAGCGGACTGGGGCTGATTCTATGATGCAGTTCAGTTCAATTTAAATCTCTTGGATAATAAAACCAGAAATACCCACCCACCACCCTAGCACCATTCCAGAAGAAATAGAGGTTTATTTTTAAAGACTTGTGTGGTCTGGACAGCTCCTGCAACTGGAAAGGTATGCTCAAAACAGTCTTAGGGACTGGATACCCTCTTCACTCCTGAGGCCAAATGCGGTTTTTTTAATGATGGGCTTTCACTGCTTACCTTAATAAGTTGCTGCTCTCTCGGGACTCTGCGTGGCCACTGCCCGCTGCTTTTGGCTCGCCACGTTTCTCCATTCATATTCTCAAATGTGGGTATTTGATTTGGTCCTCTCATCTTCCTGGGCTGAGCCAAATGTGTCACCAAACAGCATATGGGCCTCATGGTTTGGGGTCAAGTGCCAACTTCCTAGGGCCTAGACAGCAGTCACTGTAAGGGGCAACATCAGGTTTTACTAAGCGTAGGGCTGTGAGCCATACTCTTTGGCATAAGGTGTGGGCATGGACAGCGTCTGAAGCTTGGCCTATCCATTAAGGGTCTCTTTCCTGCAGCCTAAACTTCCAGACATCTGAACTCATGGCAGGAGTCCAGTGATTCTCAGTAGCTGACGCAAGGAAACCTTGCTTTATGTCCAGAAAAAGTAAATATAGATACATCAGATATTTTACAGTTAATCATAATTTGATTGTGCCAGCTGTTCTGTTTTTAAAGACAGCCCTTTCCAAAAGATTCTTTCTTACATAAAGGAAGCAATCAGCCCTTTGGCTCCTTTACACAAGGATATCTGCAATTCAGAGATCACTTATGGTTCTCTTAGGAATATATTATTCAATTTCTTAAAATGTCTTCCTAATTATACTTTGCTATGTCAACATGAACACTCATCCGAATTCCTAGAGCACATCTCAGCTCGCTGGTGCTGGCTGAGCATAGTAGATGGGGAGTAAATGGAATTCAGGATTGGCCTTAAGTAAACCTCAAAGAGGTTTTATTTACACACACATTCTCTCTCTGCTGAACACACACGGGGATGAGCATACCTGGAGGACTGGAGAGGTAACTCATTGAACAAATAGTTGCTGAGCACCTGCTATAAATTGCTGTGTAAATGTGGGTGGCAGTGAAAGGATTCTGAATATTGATAGGGCTCTTCTCAATGCTGGAATTGGATATGTTCCAAGGCCCCCATATGTCTTTCTAGGTATTAAATTCCTTGGCAGGAAGGAATCATGTACAGCCATCTTTATACACTCTCCTCCCCAATGTGTAATACAGTGTGGAATAATGCTTGGTACTTGGTGGCTCATGGGGACTGACTGAATAAATGTAACAGTAGAAGAACATCTTCCAATTAGGTCTCCAGAAGTAGACTTTAAATGTACAACACTTGCTGAGTCACACAGTTTCTAGAGGAATAGCTATTTTATTTGATATAGGTTGTCTAAAGTAAATAGCTAAAATTAAAGTTAAAAAAAAAAAAGA